TACGAAATCTGATATAAACTTATGACAATTTTAACCCATTTATAGATTTTTATTTATTACTTTTATTAAATAAAATGTATTGTTTTTTAACACTATAGTAAAACAATTGAGATTTACCATATTAGATTTCTAATAAACCTTTGAAATTCATTATAATTTATATGAATTATGTATTACTATTAAAATATTGATGAAACTGATTCAAAAGTTCTTTGGCTAGATTTGAGTTATAAGCCACACTTAAAATCGATTGAGAAGGTTGTAAAATTTAAAAATCAACCTTCATTGATTTGATAATTTTAATATATTAAAATGGTATTGTGGCATCAACAACATAAACATATTTTTGTAATTTGAATTTGTCTGCCCACCTGGCCACTTAGTTGAATAATACTTATACAAATAATAAATTGTGGTATCATAAATTTTAAACGAATTAATAATATATAGCATTGACATTAGTCATCGGGTGAATTTAAATGAGACTATAATGCAATAAAGATATTATTCAATTATTTTGAATTCATATTTATGAAGTAGGTATATATTAAACTATATATCTACTATAATGAAACATTGCTTTTTTCTGTTATAGATGATGCATTTCAGTATTTATATCATATTGTTCTTATGCGGCTATGCTTTATAATGTTTTTACGATGGACATAACTATAAAAGTTTAGAACAATATGATCAAAATAAGTCAGTTATTTCAAAAAGTTTTGGCTCCACATAATACTATTCAGTTATTAAAAACAATTAAATAATCTTTAAACTATAGATACAGTTTTTTAATTTATTATGAGTTATGAGTTTATGACTAACAATTATCACTATAGATTTTGATTATTACATCACTAGTATATTATTATTAATATAATCATTACTGATATTACATAAACAATCAATCCTATTGTAAATAATATGTAATGTAATACTCGTAAGCGTAGAATGATGAGGGCTAAGGAGGCTATAGCCCCCCTCCGAATTCAATTAAGCTCCCCCCCTATTAATTTGTTTATCCACTCGTGTAAAAGTTTACTGTTTTATATGTCCATATGTGAGATATCATTTTCAGTAATGTGACGAATAAAAACATTGCTATGAAATTATATGAGACTATGACTAACGATAGATTTGAAAATCTAACGTTACTTCATATTGAATGGGACTTAGCTATAATAATATTAAATCTGAAAAGGTTCTTAATATATTTGTCCAAAAAAGCAAGTGTTTAAAATTTATAATATAGTAATCATTTCCTTTTTAAAATATTTTTTTTTATATTTAATTCAAATACAAAATATTTATTTGATAATAATATGATGTATAGTATATTATTTATTCATATTTTACTTGATAATATGCTTCTTTAATCCTTTTTGCATTTTGTTCCTTTAMATTTTTCTATAGTTATATTAGTAGGATATATGGTCTGTACCTCTGTACCTGAATCATTATAGCCTTTATGTGAAGTAATTCGCAAGAAGTTGCGGCATCGTCGTTGATACCACAAAAAAAAGACTATAGCCCCTCCACACTCCCAAAAAAAGAAAATCATTACAATTCGCCTATGATAATACGTCGGTATTAACGGTGTTAACGGTATGTCGATACCGTTAACATTAAAAATGCTCAAGTTAGTTTTATTGGTTTTATAACATATAATTTAAACATGATTTGTTAATAACGTACTAATATACTAAAAGAAAATGCTAACACATGCGTAGCGCTAAATATATCCTAACTGTTGAAGTTAAATTCTCATGATCAATTAAATAAATAATCATTAAAATATTTATACATTTTAACAGTTCATTATTTAAGTTTTATTTATGCGATAAAAACCATGATAAAATTGAATTTTTATTATGTGATATATTAATTCTATAATATTCTATATCTATAGTGAATTACAATTTAGACTTTCGTTAATGTAAATACTTAGCTACCAAAGCCCAAATCCAGTACATTTCAAGATGTGTTACATTTTGATTATATAATTCTGGTTTTTGATTGGCTGTAAAGTGTGCTTTAAAAGCCTTAATGGCTTGAACCTCATCGGTTATATTGTATCCGTAAATACCCAAATAATTGACAAACAGCTTCTGATCTGGTATACGCGGACAYGGTGTTGAGGGACGGTACTTGGCGATAATGACTGTCTCGTTCATTTCATCGCTGTCCAACCAAGCACCTATGCCATAGTCCTTGTACAATTGGCCCCAAGGAAACATTACACCAGGATCAGTTTTTCTATTCGGGGCAATATCCGAGTGTCCAACTATATTGTGTGGTAACACTTTATACTGGTTGACCATTCGAGTCACCGTTAAACCAACAATGCGAATTTGTTCTTGAAAAAACGGGTCCCACGAATCATCAATTTCATTATGTCCAAAATTAACGATTTCGATACCTATTGATATGGGATTGATTTGGGAGTAGTTGCCCCATGAGGATCTTCCAGAGTGAAACGATACGAAAGTTTCTGGTACGACCTGCAGAAACTACAATTATCATTTCTAATAATRCACTTCTTAATAATATATACAGAGTCACTAAATTTATTTTTTAATAAAAATAATCCCGTTATAAAAAATGTATATTAATTATGATCAAAAAGTATTGAAGTGTATTGGATATTGAATATTCAATTGTGTACTTATATAATAAAAAACAAACAAGTGTTATTTATTCTTTGACACTTGACCTCATAATAATTACTGTTTACATTTTTAGCTGTATCAATTTATATTAGTCTTTGTTTGCTAACTAAATCTTTTGTATTGTATTTTATTTTTATTTTTTGTATTAATGAGTTAAATTATATTGGTTTTTAATACAGCGTTATGATCTTAACAGTATATGGATAAATACTGAAAATCGTATAAATAATTTAACTTAGGTAACCAAGTAGGCCGAACCAATTACTTCTTTGGTAAGTATAATGTATATTATACATAATATATTTTTAAATATTGAAATCCACGTTTTATTTACAGCATGTTTAAACTTCAAGTAATTTTTAAAAGCACAATTTTTTTTAGACTCTGAAGGCAGTGATTKATGTATTGATTATACAACAATGTGTGTTTTTTATTTGTTTATTTATTTTTATGCTGGTTCGGMACTTTTTTCAGAAATGATTGAATCTTAAACTTGGAGTCCRGAGAACAATTACTGGTAGAATGGGACATTTCTTAATAATCGAGTAAATATTATAATTTATTTTTGTGTGTATTGTTTACACAATATTACAATATTTTTTTAAAAGCATTTGAAGTTTAAATATTGACTAAATTCGCAAGTATCACGAACATTTGCAAATTATTTTGTTTTTAAAAACTCCTAAAATTATTCATACTCACACCTAAGATTCAAACATTTTCAAGAAAGTTTTTCAAATGTTGTAATCAATAAAGATTTAAAACAAAAAAAAGCGGGTAAGTCGTGGATGTCGCTCTGCTGTACAAGTGGGTTACTGCAGTAATGGATAGAATTAAATTTTAATCCAAAGATATTATAATCATTGTATACGAAAAATGATTCTGAGCGGAGACGGTTTATCTGTCTAGGATATAYTATAGATTATTAAAAATTTTCAAATCTTAGATTTAAAAAGAAAAATTTTTATGAATTTCTAGCTTAAAATAATTT